GTGATGATGGCACTACTGTTCTATGTGATACAGCTCTGCTAGAAGCCACTAAGTCCATGACCGGACTTTTGAGGTAACGTTATTCCGATCAGCTTTACTTTGACCTTGAAAAATTATGGTCCCACAATGGAGCAAAGTGGATTGGAATATTGTTATCGTAAAAGTCCAGTCATGGCTCGATCATACAGATAAAGACCGTCACTCAACTGGGAATTGCAGCAACCCTGTAGTGGCTCTGCTAGTTACTCGAGATTCCCAAATATTCCATTTTCTAATGTTAACAACGTATATCATCAAATAGGACCATTTTCTTCTTGAGACTTTTCACTTTTTTTTTCATCATGTGGGGGTTTAAAATTAATTCCAGTTCATCTACTTCCATCTATATGGCGGTGTGGGGGGGGGGGGGGGGGAGGGGGAGTGGTAGTTCTCCATTGAATTCTCTCTTTTTCCATGTGCATATGTTCCTAAATATGTGTGCGCCCCCAATGGTCGACCTCCCACACGCTTACACAACATTTATTAGCTTGGTTGAGTTTGGGAAATCATGCAATAAGTCTTTCTTAACTCTCGCCTTTCAAGATTTGGTCCATCATCAATTTAATCAAATCTTCTTGTTTGCTTTCTTTGATTAGGCTTCCTTTAATGGATTTTATTAGCATTTCGTGTTGGGAGCCCTGCTGGTTATATCGCCCCATACACCTCTTTTAACTAACTAAAAGTTTAGGCTTCTTCTGCGTTAAAAATCTTGCCTCTTTTTCTTGAAATAACTTTTTTGTAAAGTCAGGTCAGACATTCACATCTCTTTACTTGGATCATAACAGGGATATCTATTTAGTAAATATGGTAAATTAATTATAACATTTTTCAAGTAGATGGGGATTGGGGAGAATCTGAAATGTAAAATCAATATATCTATATTAGGAAATCATATAAAATGGATGTTATTACTTTGAGTAATGCTATTCTTACCACAATTTTATACCATATTTTTTTACCATTTTAGGTGGCAGATGAGTTGGACAAGCTACATCATTTAATTTCAATTTTCTTATTAATTAAAACACTTAAATAAGGAAAATTGCAGACTTCAAGATCTCCTTCTGGTGTTAGTAACTTAATTAGGTATGAACCCTAATCCGATAGACAAATTTGATTTTGACTCCTGATTCGCATGAAAGCTAATAGGCGTTACTTAATGAAATAATTAGATAAAATCCTTCTTTTAAACCACAAAAGAAAAGTATTTTGAAAAGAAAAAAAAAATCACGAGATGAACAACCATGAAGCACCAATGAAGATTGGAGACAGAAATACTTGAAGGGGAATGAGGATTGGGGCTACAGGGCATGAGTCTGGAGATAGAAATCAATGGTGATTGTTGTATACGAATAAATTCTACAAAGCTTGACCATAATCATGGAAATCAACAGAAATGAATAAAATTTGGCGTGAAAAAGAAAGGGGAAGGAAGAAGAAGCAGAATTGAAAGTATACCACAATCATCATTTAATTAACAAATTTTTTATTAATTATTGATTAACATTTTGAAATTAAATGCTAATTAATTTAGATGATGTGGCTGTCCACATTAGATGTCACCTAAGGTGGTATACAATTGTGGTACAAAAATATAGTAAGAATACTTTTGTTTGGATCTAAGAAATTCAATGAATGATCCCTAAAGGGCCACATCATAATTGTGCTTGTTGATGAGAGTTACTTAGGATTCAGAAACGAAAAAAAAAAAAAAAAAAAAAAAAATGTAAAAAAAAAAAATATATTTTTTGTTCTCCCAATTCTAATAAAATGGAACTAGGTCTAGTTAAAGTATGAGTTGGCAATAAAGATCCTAAGATCCGATGCAAACAATTAGTCGAAGAAGCGGAGCTTAGAGCCTTTACATTATATTAGTAAAGAGCATTCACTCTAATGACGTACCTTTTGCATTGGTCTCTCTTGTCGTTCATATTTCTCTTGAATCTGTAATTTAATTTGTTTTGTAATTAGTTCCTTAAATCTAAATATTGTAACTAAGAAGAGCATAATGAAGTAGCGTATGAAATAAGCCCAAAGACTACCATACTTTCTATTTGTCAACAACCAACCACAACTCACTATAATTCTTCACTGCTAGTGCAGGAAGGTAAGAAGTACTTGTTTTTCTATACGAAATAGGCTAAGAAATCTTCAATTTGGACTTATATTCTTTTTCTCCAACCAGCCATGATCCTCCTGCAAGTAAATCATGAAAGCTAAGAAAAGAAGAAGTGATGAGCCAGACAACAATGCTAGGTCCGAGGAAGAGACCTGTAGGTTTGGAAAGCTTGTCGAAAAATTGGAACTTCTACGATTTCTTTTCACTTCCTCCATGTTCAAAGTGTCTTAAATATGACTTCAGTTCTAAGGAGCGAAAGGCCACATCACGTAGCTTTCTTTCCAACTTACTATGACGTTGATTGATATGCTACTCCATTTGAAGCGGGATGATCAAAACAATCTTAATGAAAAACGAGTAACAGCCTCAAATAAGTTTAAGAACCCAATAGGTCAGGAGGTAGAGGTATTCCCATGTCTGATTTTAACCAATTTGGTACATTAATTCGACCTTACTATTTTTTCCTTTTTTTACTAAGATTGGAGGTGGAAGCGAAGCTGCTCTAAGTTGATAGACAAAAGTCATTGTCTACTCTGAAGGACTTTGCTGTTGAAGTTTTTAATAGTTGTCAACGCAGAACCAAGTGACGAGAAGTTTAGGATATGTTTGGCCTTTCTTTCATCCACGATACAGTACATTTTCTTTAGAGCTCTTCTAACAGTCAGCTATCACAAGGCAACCATTCATTCAAACAAGAACCAACTACCTTGCAAGGTTCTAAAAAATGTTAGGCGCTAGCCGGGCGACGGGCTGGCGCCTAACGCCTAGGCGGGATCTAGGCGGGCGGCTAGGCGGCCTATGCGACCTAGGCGGATTTAGGTAAATTTCTTATGTATTTTATGAATTAATTAAATTTACTATATCAAATGTAAATAATTATTGACTAATATGTTATTTCTTATAGAAGAACATACATATGTGAATGTTTTATGTTTTATGTACATATATAATATGCTTGCCTAAGAAAAAAACAAAATATTATCTAAATAATTTATAATTTATATAACATATATATATATATAATATATCTCAAACTTTTAAAAATATAAAAAGCCCACAAATTGGGTGGTCTTCATTATTAAAACCATCAACACCTCACCTCTTTCACATCATCCGTCCACCACCTTGGGTCCATGGTTTCAATATAAAATATATAAAATATAAATTTGAGATCCCAGTCCATCAAAACCATCAGCGTCTATGGCTTTGATAATTAAAACTATCTGTTTTTCCTTGGATTTGAGATCGCAGTCCTCGCCCTCATATATTGAAATGTTTCAAACTTTCAGTCTCTCTCTCCTTCTCTTCGCGCTCTCTCTTCCCTCATCTTCACAGACAAGCTGCAGAATAGACCACATATTGAAATGTTTAATTGTGTCTCTCTCTATCTCTTTTTGCACTCTCTCTTCCCTCATCTTCACAAAGACAAGTTGCATAAATTCACCGGTAATCTCTCTCTCTCTCTCTTCGCACTCTCTCTTCCCTTATCTTCACAGAGATGAGCTGCAGAAATTCATCAGGGCTCTGCTGCTACATACGAGATCGGAAGTTGTACATCCGTTGCGAAAATTGTAGCAAGTTTGGGATTTGCAGCGAGATTCAAACCGCCTAGACTGCCGCCTAGCGAGGGCCTAGGCGACCACCTAAGTCCTCCCCACCTAACTAAACGTTTTGGTCTAAATAGGGTCGGAGCTCTTCTACCCAGCGCCTGGGTGGCCGCCTAGGCCAATTTTTAGAACACTGCTACCTTGTCGCAACATACATGCCAATGGTGAATTACGATCCACGGTTTTTTCCTCTTTCTCTATCCCTTTCCTGCAGGTATAGTGTTTAATTAATTTCTTTGTCTTTTGTTAACTTAATCTTAATATGTTGTTCGTACTTTGTAATGCATGTTGTGTTGAAAGTTGTCTATGTGTAAGCTTTCTATTGACTGCACTCCAATGTATAAAAACGGTAGTGCTAAAAAAGGAAGAACAAACTTAGCTCTGTTCTAGTCGTGCAGAAAAATTTCTGATCTGAATTCTTTGTGAAAACCGGTTTTATTCTAGTTAATTTTTCACATCTACAAGCTAGCCAACGGGGTGGAAGTTGTGTGTTTGTTGTCCTATGTAGTCATGCAGCTATACCACGGAAAAGCTTAGTTGCATACTTGAAAAATAACACTGTTAGGGCCCAAATATTTCACGCAAGGCCCAAGAGGATTGAAAGCCCAAGCGTTCTATGGTCATACAATTTCATGCTAACCCCTTTATATTATACGTATTTATCTGAAAAATTAGTAGTTAAACATTGTGTCACACAAATTTTAATTAATTATTATGCCACACCATAGAAGGAAATATATCATGTCATGTTGAACATATTCGTTTAAACCCAACACTCACCAAACTCACATAACCCAAGACATGTGGTTTCACTAGGCTTGCTAGAGAAGTTGAGATGTGGAAGGATACAAAGGTCCACAAAGCACATGGAAACTCTTCGATAATGAAGACTTTGACCTACTTGGAAACACCAATGTCTAAATCTAACTTAGAGTTATCCATGCTGGGTAAACAAATGAGATATTTTCCTTCACATTATTTTAGTTGTGCACCGTCATTGGCTTCACTCTAGAACCACTTATCCTCCCAATGAACCTAAGCTATTTCACCCCATACCTCCACCCAGACATGTTACCCGTGAACATATTCCTGCTACAAAGCCATCTCATTATTTGGTCCATAGGTTACTAAGAAGATTCCATTCCACACTTTCTCACTATTTCATTCTCCACTTTCTCACTCCATGAACCATACCAAATCAAATTCCCCATCAAAAGATGGTTGGTCCATAGTATCTACAAAAACTGGCCATCTTGAGCCTTGGGATTCGAGAGGAGCCACAAGACAGCCTCGACTTCCTCCCTGCTCGTCTCGGTTTCTCCGTCCATGTCGGAGAAGTAAAGATCATGAAAGAATTTGACGGCAGATTTGATGGCGGGAATCGAGTTCGCAGTTGAGTTCACGGAATCGTAAAATGGCATGACGGGTGCTCGTTCGTGGTGGCGGTTGAGAGGGTTGCCGAAGTAGATGACGCGATCCCATGTGACGCAGAGGGCGGCGTCGTCGGCCTTGCATGTGACGTGAGCTAGAGCTTGCTCGCAGTCTTTGCACAACTGGAAGCGGGCGTGGCTAGATTTCAACGTGGAGCTTGGTCTTTGGTCCAGAGGCAGCTTGGACATGGAAACAGTCTAAATTTCAACTACTATTCATTTGGGTGGATACAGAGGTCCACAAAGCACATGGGAACTCCACTCTATTCAATCCACCCAAATGAATAGTAGTTGATTGCAATGAATAGTAAGTGCTCAAGTGTATCTCCATTCTTAAACTAAATAGTCTAGTCAATTCATATTAAAATAATTTTTTTTATAAAATAATATTAATTTCGGATAGGATTTTTAACCAATCTTGTCATGCCACGTGTCATTATCCGAAAGTACAATTTTTGTGGACGATAGTTAGGTATTTATACATTAAAAAAAATTAGTTTTATTTTTTCTATATTTTTAAACAATATTTATAAATTTATATTAAGTTAATTAATCTAGACTGTTATATTGAAATCCAACAACCCAAAAGTGGACACATGGCCAACGTTACCAATTTCTGACATTTTCTTTTCTTTCTTTTTTTTAGTCCGGAGCGCGCACTTACATGAGCGTGCATGCCACGCGCTAGCCGCTAAAAAATGATTTCACATGGCTAACGTAATGCTGACATCGGCTTGGCGTCATGTGGCCCGGTTTCTGGGTCAGTTCATTTTGTGTTGGGCTAGAAGCCGGCCTCCACTTTGGGCCAGCTAATTGGACAGGGTGGAGTGGGTTTTTTAGAGGCTAGGAGGAAAATGGGTTGTCCCAATTAATTAAGGAAGGGGTGGAGTTGCTCCAATGATGAGAGAGATCATAGATGAGTTCTTTGAGAAATCAGGGGAAAAATGAAGGAAATGGACTGGGACTTTGGTGATGGTTCTTCATGATGTATACTATGGTAGAATGGAATCGAACAAGGACTAGGCACATAATATTGACCATGAGCAATAGATTGGGAGTAGAAAATTGAGCAGGGATAGCTCTGTTTAGAACTTTGTGCTGATAATGAGTTGCGAAATCGATGGTATGTATGTAGTGGAATATAAAGTACATAAGACACAATATTTACGAGTTTCGGCAAATGTGCCTACATCCTTGGGTGGGCTAGTAGTCCTTTGTATAGGAAAACATATAGTTTTGTTGACCAGTTAATTAAGGGAGGGGTGGAGTTGCTCTAATGATGAGAGAGATCATAGATGGGTTCTTTGAGAAAGTAGGAGAAAAATGAAGGAAATGAACTGAGACTTTGGTGGTGGTTCTTCATGATGTATACTATGGTAGAATGGAATCGAATAAGGACTAGGCACATAATAGTTGACCATGAACAGTAAATTAGGAGCAGAAAATTAAGCCGGGATAGCTTTGTTTAGAACTTTGTGCTGATAATGTGTTAGGAAATCAACGGTATGTGTGTAATGAAATATAAAATAAATAAGATACAATATTTACGAATTTCGACAAATATGCCTACGTCCTTGGGCGGGCTAGTAGGCTTGTATAGGAAAACATATAGTTTCCTGCTAAGGTCAAAGGTTGTGGAATTAGGACATGCTTCACGAGGCTTGCTCCACAACTTCAACATCTATTGGCTGAAACAAGTCGTGGGACGGTGCCCGTTTCTTTAAGTGGGCCATCTACTTTTATATCATTGTTTACATTATAGACAAATTTTCACGACTAATATGTACAAAAGCCTTTTACAATATTACATCATAAATATTTTTTTTTTCAAAGATTAAAAAAAAAAAAAAAAAAAAATGTGATGTCGCCATTCTTTGATTTAGCTTTGGCATTCGTATTGTGTTTTTCGTGTTCGTGTCATTTTCGTAACATACCCGATATCTTAACGGGTAGTGTCGTGTAACACCCATTAAAGTAAACGAGTAATATGACCCGACCATAAATTGATCCGTTAATGTTATCAGGTAATATGACCCTACCTGTTACCTGTAAAGAAAATATATTTTAAATCAATAAATAATGAAATTCTAAAAAATGAAACCTCGGTGAGTATAATAAAGCATCAACAACAATCGATGGTTAAATTTAAATCTTAGGTATATGGATTATGGTATCTAATTTCGGAGTCAACTATTTCACGAAAATTGTAAAGCTTGTCATTACGAGTGATTGTATATTTATTTTACATTTTTCACACTCCTACAATAGTTATTATTAATTTTGCACTCAAATAAAAAAAAACACTATTCATGAGATTTGGTGGGTTTTAAAAATCTAAACAACCATGTAACTATCGTCTAAGCATAGATGATACAATCACGAGCGATTATATATGCTTTCACATTTTTCAGACTTGTACATTAATAATTATGAATTTATTTATTTTGAACTCCCTTAAAAATACTATTAATGAGGGTTTGTATGGTTTTAAAAATTCAAACGACTATGTACCCATCCTCAAAGGGTAAAGGATGCGATCATGAGCGTTTACATATTTTTTCACATTTTTCACACTTGTAAATTAATTGTTATAATTTTTTTAAATGTGTTTGGTATTTTTAAATTACTTAATATTTTTATTTATCATGTGTTTTTATTTTTTTAATCTCAATATTTGCGTATAGGATACTACAAAAATAGATAGATAAAACTTAAATCTTTAATTTATAAAGAATAATAATACAGTAATACGTATTTAATATACAATATATACTTATACACTATGGCTATTGTATGTTATAGTATGTTTTTTTAGTAGTTTAAAAAATTAAAATCATCAAAATAACTTTCTTCTTAATGTGTCAAAACAGGTTACCTGCATGTCACCCTCGTGCAATCTTGTTAAGGACTGGTTATTAACGGGTTCTTATCGTGTGACCCAATAACGACCTGATTAACTATCTTGTTGATCCGAAACCAGTTATTTTTGTGTCGTTTACGTGGCGTGTAAGAAATTGTCAGGTCTACTTTGCTTTCCCTGGGGTCACACAGATTAATAAAAGGTGGTCACAAACCCTTTTTTATCTTCCACGCCTCTGGTTAATTTATATCATTTAATTTTCTTTTTATTTAATTTGATGATTAAAAATTAAAGGAATTATTAAGGGTGGGTACGGGCCAAGTGGGGCCTAAAATTAGAGGGACCGGACTTGACCCATTTGTAAATGGAGCAGGGTGGGGCGGGTTTTGCTGTTTTAGAAAATGGACCGAACCTAACCTGACCCTTTCCAAATGGGCTGCTTCCTATGGGTCCCTGGGTCTTTATCTTCGACAGCTATGCTCCTTCGGCTCATTTGATTCGTCATCGTTTTTATCAGAGTATGCTCGGAGAAGATTCATTCATAGAAACAAAGAAGAACCCTAACCCCTAAATTTGGCTTGTGATGGAATTTAGAAATTTATAGTTTAAATTAGAAATCGAATGAAACAAAAACAGAAAGATACTCATTGATGGCTTGAAAAGGGAAACGGCAGCCACTAGGGCGGGCACAAAAGGATTCTTGGCGAGGTTGAGGTTTTGGAAGCATTGAGTTGGGGTTTTCCAGGGTATTTGATTTGCGTTCAAACTTCGAGTTTGGAGAGAGACCTCGAGCTTTGAGTTGTGACAAGCGGGGACCGACGACAGCGAGTGGATCGACGAACACGAAGTCACGACGAAGGGGACGAACTACGGCGATGAGACGAACGAAGGCGAACGAATCAATGAACACAAAGCCATGACGACAGGGATCAACGACAGTGAATGGATCAATGAACATTAAGTCACGATGACAGCGAACGGATTGACAAATACAAAGTTTGGACCTCGACATCACCTGCGCTGTAATTTAGGTTTGAGAACACGAAATTGGGAGTCTTGGACGAGACAACTCAGACAAGAATAAGAGAGACAATGATAGATGGTAGAAATTTAATCAAGGTAGGAAATCAACGGTCGGGCCGGGGGCTCGTTTTCTCCAATTTCTAGAACTGCCCCACCTAGTTATTCATCTGGACTCACCTTGCCCCGCCCCATTTTGTATTTATAATTTTTGGACCTACCTCGTACCCGCCTTTACCCGCAGGTTTGGACCCGTTTGCCCACCCCTAAGAGTTATATAAAAGATAAAAAAGAAATATGTTGGTAGTACCGTCCGTAAAAGAATGTCTCGTTCAAATTATTTGCTGAACCAATCAATTCCCAATCATAAAAACTTGCACAAGCATGCATATTCTACGAACGAACTTAAAACTCTGTTTTCAAATCATATTCTCTTCTTCCCCCATCATCTTTTGCCTTTTTTCCTTATGGGAACTCTAGGCCATAGCTGTCGTCATCTCACTGGATGAGGACACGTAGACGCTTGCATGTGTTTTAACTTCCCCTTCTCTTTTGTCCCATTCAAGTTGGTGCATGAGCTGTATAATTATTAATTCACAGGAGTAGACACTTTCTTTGACAAGGATTATTATATTCTTATACTGTCAAAGGACAAAATTGCCCTTCCAATTCGAACAGAAAATTAAAAGACAATTATAAAATATTTTGCTGGTTTTAGCCTGCCTGTAAAAAAGTAATATTTTAAAGAGTCACAAATTTGGCTGTAAGTAGAATAACCATAGAAGATTATAAAGTTATAGAAAGAATATATATAGGATTAATCTCAATATACTATCTTGAAGTTTTGTGATTTTCAACATTTGGTATATAAAGTTTTTTTTCGTCCCAGAATCATAACTCAAGAATATACTACGTACTCATCTTTCTAGAATGTATTTATCAGCATCAAAATTACTTTGACTCTTCAAGTATGTTCTTAGTCTTTTTTTTTTTGTTTGTCGAAGAGCTGAAATTTATTAAACTTCAAACATCTTGGAAATCCCAACAACGACCCTAGACAAACAATGTGGGAGGCTTCATTCCATACTGACAAAAGCTTAAAATTGAAAACATAGAGAGAGAAAAAAAAAAAAAAAAACCCTAATCTCCACCAACTAGCTCACTGCTGCCGAACTCTCCTTGGCAACCATTGGACATCCATGTAGGAACCAAAACAAAGAAGGATCCGCAAAGAGTCAACCTAAAAAAGAAAAAGAAAATCTGCATCTAAAATCAAATCTCAAAGCGTCGCAACCGATCAAGTCATCTAAACCCGTACCCCAAACCACCACGCTTGCGAGGAGAACTAAGTTGACACAACATGGGAATGGGGAAGGTCAAGGGGATGTATAAAACACCTTTACTATGACGAAGACCAATAAAAAAGAACAGTTCGAATACCATTTGTTAACATCCCTAAAAATATTATTAAAATCCTTTTATAAGAAGGTTTTATTGAAAACCGGCTCTTTAAAATTTAACGTATATGCTCGCACTCGTGCAGGAATCTCAGCGATCACTTGATCTGATTCTATGTATTGATCATTTTGAACTAAAATCAAACTTCTCTATTCTAGCTTCCTATTGATTAGTGGAGTGAGTATTACATAAACTCTCATTTTCTGTATAAGATTCATTCAATAACCAAGTCGGGAGTCTGTACCACTCCGAAATATTAATAACTAAGTTAAAGAGAGAGTAGGGCAAGCCACAGACGAAAGTGAACTACAGACTACTTACCAGAGACCATCGGCAATGGACAACACTTCACTAACACAACCTTAGATAGAATATAACGAGTCACCCAAGCCCTAGCCCAGTCTTACTAAGAGTTTGAATTGCTCCCTAGGATAGTAGGGCGAATGAATCAGATTACAAACCACTTTGCCAAAATATTCCGGCATGTTGGTATAGAAAGGGGCAATGGGGTAGAGATTTACATCCTAAATCGAGTCCAAAACTTGAAGATTTGATGTATAGGTAGGAATAAAGGGGAAATGACGGAGAGGTTAAAGATGGAGGTGTCTAGGGATGCAAGGGAAAATGAGAGAAATGAATATGAGGGGAATAGGTGACATAACTGGACGGGTTTGAAAAGGGGATAAAAAGTAAAAGGAGAAGAAAAAGGGGGTAGTAAAATAGGAGAGACGGCGAATGATGCTAGGGAAGCGACGATAAACGTCAAGAAAGCATGCCAACAACTCTCAACCTAGCAGAGGTGGTTTGGAGCAGTGTCGATGTTGAGAGATTGAATTATTAGTATTTAAAATTTAAAAAGAGAGAAGTTATGACATATTAAATTGGAAATAAAATACCTAAAATCTTTCAAACTAATTTATTTATTTATTTATTTTTATTTTTTTAGAAGAAAATAGATAGTGTTAATGGGCAACTGAAACAGTATATGAGATGAGCAACTGCAAACTAATAAAAAAAAGAAAACTGTTGAAGGATTAGGCGAGTCGAATTACTGATACGGTTTGGTCATTGGGCTAGCTTAATCTTTAGCTAGCGCACTTTGAGATTTAGTCATTGACTACCTATGTAGGTTACTTTTTCCCACTCAAAACGATGAAAAATAACTAACTCTCCGATACAACGACCCTCCATCTCCTCGAATCCCTTTTTAGTTGAAGCTAAATGTATCAGTCTTCCACCAATAATTCATAAATCATAAAAAAAAATTGCTAGGAAGGCTTTTCCCAATAAGGGCAACAATATATATTCAATAGCGCCAAGAAAGGAGGTGTAAGCAACAAACTATATGAGTTTGTCACTACTATTTGGCCAATAATTGAACACAATGAATAGACGTACATCAATACAATAAGAGTACGATTTTATTCATATGTCCTTGTTCTAATGACATGAGACACCATATAACAACATATTAATGCTAGGCAAGTTATTCTACGTGTCTTAGGGCTTTTTGGTATTGTACTAAAAAAGGTTTATACTTTTTAAAAATATTTCTTAAGACTATTTCATAAGAATAATCTTTAATAAAATTTAAAAACTTGTTTGGTATCTATATTATTAAGAGAAGAGGGCTTGTTAACTTTTTGCCCCCTTTTCTTCCAATTTTGCCCCACTTTTGAATACATAATGTTGACATGAGGAGGGTAAAATAGTAATTTTATACCTTTGACAAAATGACAATCATATCCATATTTTTCCTATTTACCCTTACTTTTGATACACAACATTTACATAAAGCGGGAAAAATGGTAATGATATAATATTAAGAAAAATATGCCCTTATTAAGAGATCTCATCATCATTGTTTCACATTCTTTCTAAAAATTTTAAAAACTAATTACACTCCTTAATCAAAAACAAAAAAGGAAATGAAATTGTTCACAAACAAAGTGTGTGCTTATACCCTAGTATAAATTTAAAATTGTTTTCTAAGTTTTTACAATTCAAAATTGAAAACAACTCCTTGGTGGGACCGGAGAAAAAAGGAAATAAGAGATTGGGAGAGAGAAGGAGACAGAAGAGTCGGAAGAGAGAAGAAAAATGAGAGAAAAGAGGAAGAGAGGACCTGGATTGTCTGCCCTCATCATCTCATACTCTTCACATCCCCTCCTATTTATGTGGTTACGGTTAAACCACATTAATATTTTATATTGATTTTTTTTATTAAAATATAAAACAAAAAACAATGGGAATATAAAATGTTAACGTGGCTTAACCGTGACCACAGATATAGGAGGGGATGAGAAGAGTATGAGATAGGGAGGACAGATAATCAGGTCCGGAAGAGAGAGATAGGAGAGAGGAGAGAGGAGAGAGGAGAGAGGTGAGGGAGTGGGGGGGGGGGGAGGAGAGAGGTAAGAGAGAGAAAGTGAAGAGTGGTTAATTTAAAAACAAGTAATGTTATGGAGATTAAATTTGTAAATACAATGAGTAATGTTATTTTTACCATAATTTTATATCACATTTCTTTACCATCTTAAGTGGCAGATAAGTTGGACAAGTTACGTCATTTAATTTCAATCATTTTATTAATTCAAACACTTAAATAATCTTAGGTGACATAAGAAGACTCCTCGTATACTACAATCATCATTTAATTAACAATCTTTTTATTAATTATTGATTAACATATTGAAATTAAATGCTAATTAATTTAGATGATGTGACTATCCACATCAGATGCCACCTAAGATGGTATACAATTGTGGTACAAAAATATGGTAAAAATAACATTATTGAAACAAAATTTATAAATTAAAGGATGTGTCACCAATAAGAAATAAGCATGTTTATCTATGTTTAAATAATAATTCAATTATCAAATTTCATGTTATTTAATTTACAAAATTTTATCAACAAATTTAGTCTTTCTAGTATTACTCAAAACAAAAACTTTTAAGTCCAACTTCTGAAAACAGTTCTACCAAACAAAATATTTTTAGCTTGAAACTCAAAAACTATTTTTAAATTAAAAAAATAAATAAATTGAAGTCCAATACCGAACGCCCTTAATTTGCTCATAAGTTTCTCGCCAAAACTGCTGACTATTGCCACTTTGTGGCCATGCATTAAGCCAGCTTTGAATGCTACCCTTCTTTCCTTTCCTTTTCCTATTCGGAGAGACAGCACCTAATGTTCCTCATTGACAGTCTTCTCTTTCACTGCTGCTTCAATTAGCCCTCCATTAACCCAATCAATCCTCTCTCTCTCTCTCTCTCTCTCTCTCTCTCTCTCTCTCTCTCTCACATTAATTCCAAGTCGTCGTCTTCTTGTTCTTGTTCTTGTACTCCATGTTTTCTAGAAGGCAAAGTCCTCCGAGTCCTCCATGGACTGATGACGAGAAGGAGAAACACTACTATTACTCCAACAACAAAGACACCCACTTTAACAATCCCCACCTCCGATTTGGTGCCTTGGTTTTTGTCTTTCTCTCTCTTTGGCTTCTTCTCCTCCTCATTTGGTTCCCTACCAAAACCACACCCATTGTTGAGCTTGATGTTGATCTTGTCCAAAAACCACAGCAGCAACAAAATGTCCACCACCATCTCATTCACAAAACCCAAAATCCTAACCGCATCAATACTAGTACTACCGCCATCGCCGCCGCCACCACCACCACAAAATCCCCATTTACGGTTCCTACTTGCTACCCAAGCGTCTCGGTGTACGTATACCCTTTGCCGGCCAAGTTCAACCTCGGACTACTGGACAATTGTCACATTCTAAACGTGTACACCAACATGTGTCCCCATGTGGCGAACCGCGGCCTTGGCCAGCCGTATCCCCAATTGGGCTCCGCCGCCTCCTGGTTCGCCACCCACCAGTTCATTGCCGAGATGATCTTCCACGCTCGCGTGGAGAATCACCGCTGCCGCACTCTTGATCCCGCACGTGCCAACCTCTTCTACGTCCCCTTCTACGGCGGCCTCCACGCCTCCGGCAATTTCAAGGAAGCCAACCTCACCGCCCGTGACGAGCTCGCCGTTGACTTGGTCGATTACGTTCAGTCCCAGCCTTGGTGGAAGAGGCACAACGGTAGGGACCACTTTATCGCCCTGGGGAGGACCGCGTGGGATTTCATGAGGGCCGCCGATGGTCCTGATTTCGGGGCCAACTCCCTCCTCAACTTACCTGCCGTCAAAAACATGTCGGTGCTGACTGTGGAGAGGCATCCTTGGCAAGGTTCAAACCAACACGGCTTGCCCTACCCTTCATATTTCCACCCGTCCACTTGGCAGGAGATGGTGGCATGGCAGAACAAAGTGAGGGAAATGGAGCGACCCCACTTGTTTTCTTTCATCGGTGGCCCCCGAAAGGGATTAGAAAAAGCAGCCGTTCGGAACGAGTTCATACGGCAATGCGGCGAGTCAACTCGGTGCATGCTCTTAAAATGTGGCTCTGGGGCTAGCAAATGCCACGAGCCGAGCGAGGTGCTGAAGGTAATGTCCGAGTCGCAGTTTTGCTTGCAAGCACCTGGTGATTCGTTCACTCGGCGGTCGACGTTTGACTCGGTGCTCGCTGGCTGCATACCGGTGTTCTCCTCGCCGCACACGGCGTACACTCAGTACAAGTGGTTTTTACCTGGTGACGGGAGCACGTACTCGGTTTACATTGACGAGAAAAGTGACGCGAGTAAGAGAATCGAAGGGGAGCTGCTGAAGATTCCGAGCGAAAAGGTGACGGCGATGCGGGAAAAGCTCATAGAATTGATCCCAAGTCTCACTTACGCGCATCCGAATGCGACTAATCTTGGGTTTGGGGACGCCGTGGACGTTGCACTTGCATCGTTGGCCAAGCACATCCACACAATGATATGATTAATTAATTAATTAGATATTGGATGGTGAGAGGTGGATTTTGATGTGTATTAACCATTACCATTGAGAGAGACCCTGCCGACAGTCTCATGTGTTTATTGAGTGTTTGTCCAATAAAAAAAAAAAACGTCTTTGACTTATAAAATTAGAATTCAGATTAATGTGGTTTGTGCAGCTGAGATGTTTGAAGATGCACTAATAACATGTCAAATTATGCTCCATTACAATTTTGTTTCGTGGTGCTCTTGAAGATTCGGACTTTCTGTAATTATTGAACAATGATTTGAGTTCTAATTTCATATCATGGAGAAATTTTGTGCAATAAAAATTAAATAAAAGTACAAAGTAACATGCATGTATGTCCAACGTGTTGAACAATTGGTATGGGGAATCAAATCATGTTACAGTATATATTCAAATTAAAGTACTTGTTTGCCGAAAAAAAATTAATTAAGGTTTATTATAACAAAAAAATACAGATCAAGAAGAATTGGACAGCAGCTCGTATCTCTATTTTATTACAAGGTATTGGGACGTGGTGGTTAACATCATATAATAAAAAATAAAAACGTGTGTGAGGGTAGACAAATGAATAAAGAATAGCACCTCCTGGGTGATTCATATGTATGTGACTTCAAAACAAGCATCCAAGAGGCAACAGCAACACAAGGCAGCACAGCATCCCTTCCAGAAGCCATCGCCCTTGGACTTGGTTTCTGCAGGTAGTGCATCACGAGCAGAAGCAGCTCCTCCTCTCGTGGGATAACCAGCAGGCAGCGGTGCCTGCACATAATAAGGGCCCGTTGCCGTTGAATAAGGTAGCGGAGGGTTTGCCATTGCCATAGTGGATTTACTACTTGAACTCATCGTTGAATCATCGAATAAGAAGTGAGACGAATATTAATTGCTAACGAAAATTAATCGACGGAGTTAGCTAGAAGAAATTAGTACTCGGCAAAGTTTGTGATATTGGGTAGGTGATGATCGAAGAACCGCAATTTATAGATGAAGCAGATGAGAATTGTTGGAGGTCACTTCTTATAAGGTCGATAATTTAGATTACGCGAAAGCCTACAATCACACCGTGTACCATTCTTTTAAGCGGCAAAGAAAAATCACAAGACACAATTGCTACAACGCAAAGTCCTACCAAGGCTACCATAACTTGTTCTCATTACTTTTGTACTAGAAGATACGTAGGAAAGTGGAATCACACTACAACCATCTTACCAACTCCTCAAATTAATTAAGAACAAAAGATAGGGAACAAAAATATATTTGTTAGGTATTGATACTTGTACAAATGAAATGTTCATGATGTATATTCATATTCAACCATTCGTAGTGAAGCAAAACCTTTTTTTCAATGTCAAATGTATAGAAGTTAAGGGGTCATATGATAAATTGTTAGTTTTTAGTTCTAGTTTTCAAACTTTTTAAGTAGGGGTCATTTGCTAGCAAGAGTTCTTCCGTTGGTTTCTAGACATTAAGTTACATGCATTACTGAATTAGAAACATTACGTCACATCAACAGGGACCCTTATATAAAGTACATAACTCTAACAGTATAGGCCTATCATCAGCCATTAGGAATCCTCACGCATCTATAGTTCCTTAAATTAGGTCCAAATAGAATAGGAAACATCTTTTCCCATATGTTAGGTATATGTGCCATGTGGCAAACCAATTGACAATATGAAGAGTAACTTAACTTACTCATAAGATATGCAAGGTTCATCGTCCTATCAATGTGGGACATTGTCAACACACCCCTTTCACGTGTGGCAAATTAGGTGCCTTGTCCTATCATTGGGGGACATTGTCAACACGCCTCTTCACGTGTGATGAATTTTCAAGTCAAACACGTAGACAATACAAACCGGGTGACGTGGAACGCACGTGGCCGTTAGGCTTCACACGTGTGACAACCTGTTCTGATACCATGAAGAAAGTTGAGGTTCCACCATAAAACCAATTGGCAATATGGAGAGTAGCTTAACTTATAAGTTCATACAAAGTCTTCCTCCTATCAATGTGGCACATTCTCCAACAGGATTGAGTCCTTTAGGACAGATTTTTGTTTCCCATTTGGCTTTGGATTTAAGTTATATTATTTTCCTTTTTCAAGTAGGATTAAGTCTATTTTCTTGTTTTAGTTGATTTAGGAATGTCTTCCGAAACCCATTAGGAATAGGCTGTCTTTTCCAATCATTAGTTGAGCTGGGAATCCTTGTACTATTTGAATCGGGAATTCTTTCCTGATTGTCTTTGTATTGGTTCCCTATAAATATCCCATTGTAATTCATAGGGAACTATGAGTTTATGAATAAGAGTTGAGTAACATTCCTGTGAAAGGAATTCTTTGGTGGGAAACCAAACTTTGGTGGGAAGCCAGTTTCGGGTGCGAAGAGTGATTCCAGACCCTCTCCCTTTATCTGCTGTTTTTTATTTGTTTTGCTTCTGCTATGCTGCTTATTTTCTTAATTAAGTCATATCCAACATATATGAATCTGCAATTTATAGATGAAGAAAAGCAGATGAGAATTGGTGGAGTGGTGGTTTCTTGGAAGGTTGTTTATTAAAACTGTCGTGTCTTTTACGCGGGTGGGCTATACCAACTTATGTTGCGAAAAAAAATATAACAACGAAACGATAGCACATGACAAACGGACCTACTCAATTCTCTAACTATATATTCTTGTTTTTATTGATTACTTTTGGCTCCAAGGGGAAGGTATGTAGGAAATTATAGCCAATTACCAACAGATGAGGGTATCTTGAATCAAGATGGTGACTTTTCAATAAGTAATGTTCTTTTATGGAAATCATATGCGATCTATAATTCTCGAGCTATAAACATCCTATTATTTAGGGTTATCTTAAAAGTAGTGTTAGAGCAACTCCACCGTTGGAGTTTGCTTGGGGGACAGGCCAGGAAAAAGGGCCCAAGAGCTTGGCTTCAATGCTCCAGCGTGGGGAGCCCGATGGACAGGTCAAGCCCGAGCTCCGGGCCTGTGAGGAATTGGCAGCCCGAGAGCCCCGTGGATGTGACACAAGGGCTGACGTCATCATGGCGTCAGCCTAATATTTTATTTTTTTTTCTATTAGGTGCGTGCACCTCATCCGCCAGTGGGGGCGCGTCACCCGACACGGTTTCAGCGCCTAGGGCCCATGACGCAGTTTTGAAAAGTTACCGTTGGGAAGTCACGTGGCTTCCCATGGTCCGTTGGATCGCAACGACTATATAATGTGGACCGTCCGATTTGCAACGGTAATAAAAATAAAAAAAATCTTATTTAATATCAACCATTGGATCTGAGATCAACGGTTAATATTATTCTGCTTTATAAATAAATAAATAAAAGAAAAAATAGTTTTAAAGTTAAGAAAAGTTACCATTGTGACACGTGGCACAATCTGGAGTGTTGGAATTCAATTCTTTTAAATCCAATGGTAGAGATTAATTAGTTCAATAAAAATTTTAAAAAAATTGTAAAAAATCTGAAATTTTTTTTTTAAAAAATTGTTTTTACTTTTCTATAAATACCTTCTCATTATCATCTACCTTACATGTGACATCCCATCCCGGAATTATCGAAACGTACTTGTGAAATGACCATTTTGCCCCTAGTTAGTTTGGTTGTGTTATTGGTTATTTGTGTGCCTTGTTGGCATGCTTGAGGATCACACACATACACTCACTGTCCCTATCCCTTTCTCAGTCTCTTTCCCTGTCCCTCTCTCTCTCCCGAGCCTCTATCCTTCTTCTTCTTCAAACTTGTACGGACACACACACAACTACACTAAAACATCACAGATCGAGGAAACTAAGGACACCTTCGAACTCGTAAAGCTCATGTGAGTACAACCATACCATTTGCAGGTGAGAGATCCTCCATTTTCACGTCGATTCAAGGTTCACCGATTTGAGTACTGTTCATGCAAAGTTAATCCAGTTAGTTTTTGGACTTTTGGAGCTTGTAGATGTGTTGGTGAGGTCCCAAGGAGCTTGGGAGTGCATCGTTGGACGGAATTGGACATCGGAATCACGAACTGTAAGTTTGGCCGGATTTTCATATTTTTAGAAAGTTTGATTCCGTTGTTTTTAGGCCCTAAAACTAGTCCAACGTGGTAGATTATGTTTAGGGCTTCATTTTGGTATAAATTACATGAAAAATGGACGAAAAATGAAGGAGATTAGCGAGTTTAAAACTTTCAAAGTTTTCCGGTGACCGGAGTTCGGCGAGGGTAGGCCAGAGAAGAAGCAGGAATATTCCGTTGAGTTTAACGGAATATTCCTAACGGCAATAACGGCGTCAGTTTAGGTTTAACGGAATATTCCGTCAGTTTAACAGAATATTCCTGACGGCGTCTATTGACACCGTCAGTGTGCATGGCACGTGGCCGCGCGTGGGGGCACGTGGCCGCGCGTGGGGGCGCGTGGGTCCGTGCCTATTTTGGCTCGTGGGGGCACGTGAAGGGTCCAAAAATTATTTTAAAAATATGGTTGTGATCCTGAGGTTGTGTAGATCATGTTGGTATATTCATTCGTCCATTTTGAGCAATGTATGAGAAGTTATTTTGAACGGACGGTTAAGTGCTTTAAAGTTAACGTTTTTATAGTTAATTCGCATATAGGTGACACGTATCCCGAGGACGAGCGTGCACACTCGATGCAGGGGGGCTACGACCCTTCCACATACCAGTGAGTGGGCTTTTGGTTTTCCGTATATACCTATATACATTTATTTTCCCAGAAATTGTTTAAAAAGGGTTAATTGTTTATGCCATGCACCATATTATTATCGTTTATGCACCATCGCATGCATTAGTAGTGGCATACATATACGTATGCATAATTATATTTGGTGTTGTGGAGGCGCAGGTAAGTGCCAGGTAAGCGTTATTTAACCTTTGCATTAAATGGTGATTAGAGGTGCTTAAGAGCTCATAACCTGCACCCCCGGTGTTAGTGCTTTCGCCCAGAGTAGGGCACAATCCTTCACGTGTTGTTCACCTCCCGCACCATACGCTCAGCTTGGATCCAAGTTAGGTGCACAGCCCTGTCTTACAGACCACTTTAGGTGGTTCCGACTCGTAGGTGACCCGCGATTATTCGCACAGCCTTCACGTGATCGTAGCACTAGAGCATTTATATGTTTTACACCCAGGCCTGTCGTACAGACCACTTTAGGTGGTTCCGACTCGTGGGCAGGTTTAG